TTAATGGCTACTGAGAGCAGGAGATTCACTCATCCCAGGGACAAGACCCCTTATACGTTGTCTAATTCCAATCAGTCAGCATTAAACACATTTCATTTTAAAAGAAATACGCAATATGTACAAGTAAATGCATACATGCATATGTATGTGTAGTGTTTTAGGCTTAAGAATAACACTAAGTAGACTCAGCAGGTTGTATTTATGTGTGAATACACACACACACACACACACACATATATATATGCATATATGTGCATATATATGAGTGAGTGTGTGTGCAACAATAATAAGAAGAGGTCATAAATTTCAGTGTGAGTGGTGGGGGCACAGGGAGCGTAGGAGAAAGAAGTGAGGACAGATAGTAAGTAAATATAGTACTCATGTGAAATTCTCAAAGAAATTAAAAGATTAAATAAAAAAGGATGCTGGATTTTTTATAACTTTGAGATAAATATATATATATATATATATTTATCATATAAATTATATATATATCATATAAACAATGATGCATGAAACTTAGATAGAAGTACTATTTTTTAACTAAAATTTTACATGCAGAGCCAAACCAAATGATGAAATGAACAGGAAAGGGGAGAAAAGCTGTCCTTGTGGCTGTAAAGCAGTGAGGAGGAAGCTCACATGGATTTGTGTTGGTCTCCATTTGAGAATTAGGGAGACAGGAAATTTAGTTTTCTTAATTTATTAAAGGGAAATTAAACACTCAGATGAAACATGAATCACTACTTAACTTTTTAAAATTTTTATAAACTTTGCCTGAGTATTATAGTTATTAAATATCTTTCTCTTTCATTAAACTTTATAAAATTTCCTGTGATATTTCTTTGTCTGTGTGAATATATTAAACATTTAATTATTTTCATGACTTCCCTGGCATTTTTATTATCCTTTTTATCACAGCATGTTTCCGAATAAAAGGTTTCTTTTTTATTCTGGTGTAATTTCTCTATTTGGTGAAGGAAAGGCAAAAAATGCATAGTAAGAATGGAATTCCACATTTTTTGTCCTATTTTATCCATTTCATATTGTTTTCTGTCTTGAAAACTAGGCTTTACATATTCAATATGAATGGTGACATGAAATATAAAACACATAGTGGACCACTAAAGGAGTTTCTCAGAGCAAATGAATCATTAAGCAGACTGCAGCAATGTTACATAAAGATCATGTATGCCCCAACTGCCCGCTTTCCTGTTTCATCCCTCTGTCTCTGAAAACTATGTTATATATTTCAACAGCCTTTTAAATACACACAAGCAATTCATTGAGAATTTCAGATGTCCGTACATCAGATTTCCCACCCATCCGTCCCCGACTCCTCCCAGAACCATTCTTCCATGCCCTTTCCAGCTCTCTTCATGTTTTGTTTTTGTTTTAACCCACCAGTCCAATGTGTGCTGTCCATATACTCAAAGCTGTGGTCAACCCACTTGGATTACCACCTTGAAAGCTGAGTCCTCCCCCAGAAGCTATCAGCAGACACTAATTCAACAGTCTCTTCTAATATTTCCATTTGGTATATCTATATTACTCTAAAAGCTTTGAGGTCTAAAATTTGAATGTAGGAAAATCAGTGTTAATAGTTTCAAATGAGTGGTGTGCTATCTATAGAGGGTTTACCCTGCAGAAGGTAAAAAGGAATTTCAACTCCCAAGAGCTGTCCTCTCATCTCTACAAATTTATCACGGCAGGCATGCACCTTCACAGACAGACAGACAGACAGACAGACAGACACACACACACACACACACACAGAGAGAGAGAGAGAGAGAGAGAGAGAGAGAGAGAGAGAGAGTTATTCAGAAAAAGTAGAAACTATGGGTGTGAGGAATCCTTTACAATTCTGCCATTTATCTTTTTCTGTTCTGCCTCAGGAGAACTCACATGCAATACTCATAATTTATATGACTTTATTTAGACTTCCTCATAACTTTCTAATTGTATTTTTTCTGCAAAATTAAAAAGATTAATGTACTGGAAAAGTACTGAAAGAGAGAGACAAGAAGGGAATTGAACGAAGAGATCCAGTAGTGTTACTGTTGTCAAACATCTCACCATAAACTTTGAATGTGTAATGAATAATGATGTCATTTTTAAATTGGCTTCATAATACAGAAGGTCAAGGTGTCAAGGAGAGGTGACCACGACAAGATCAAGAGATGAAGGTGCTCAAGTCAAACGGATGAGCAAAGAAAAAATACAATAAAAATTAAAAGGAAGTTAGAAGTAACAAAGAGAAAGTGAGACTCCTGAAAGGAAGTAGCAACTGTCAAAGATACAAATAAAATTAATTAGATACTAAAAAGTCAGAAAGAATTAGGGAGGGTGAGAGGAGTGCATCGCAGTCTAAATCAATCCCACAAATACTTAAAACGAATTCCTGAAAAACAAGATCATGATAATAAGCTAAAACAAAATTTTAACTCAAGAAACTGCTTCTGAAATAAATTTTAGAAAACAGGGAAAAACAAAACCAGAAAGCTTGTCCCTGGGGTAATCCAGAATGTGGAGTGATGATGGAGAACCATTCGAGTGGACCAGTAAGGTGACCTATAAATAAAGGGCCCTTTGCTCAGCAGACAAGTAAAAAATCTTAATATCCTATAATGGTAGAATAAAGGACAGCATAAGTTAATACTGCTCTGAGTCAAATTGTACTTCAAGTGTAAAGCAAAAGATAAAGGAATTTGAACATGGTAGAATTTGAAAATACTGCTTCCAAAGGGCCTTTAAATGTCTATTATGAGTAACTTTTAGCTAACCATAAGATGATACAATAACAAAGGGAATTGTCAACAATAAAAGCTCTATTGCAAGATCTCCCTATGTACTCAAACACACACACACACACACAGGAACACGCAGTCACATAAACATATGCATATGTACTCATATACAGATACACATATGCACAGGCGTATACATACACTAGAGCCTTTAGATGTTACAGCTCTAGTCACCTAGATTGTAGTCTTATAGCATATTCTGGCCCTGAACCTCTGGTTAGCCCCTCCTCACTTCCGGGACCTTACTCACTGGTATGCTATCCTCATTTATGGTTATAAATAGATAAGTTTTGCAGAGAGTTGTGTAATACTGATAACTAAAACAGGCTTTCAAAATACTTAATTTGAGGGCTGGGGAAATGACTTAGCTGGCAATGTACCTGATACAGAAACATAAGGGTTAGAGTTTGGATTCCCAGCAACTGCATATAATTTGTGCACAGCAGGATATATCTGTTATTGTGAGGGTGGAGCCAGGCAGATCCCTAGTTCTAACAAGCCAGATTGATTAATGTGCGGTTTAATGAGACTTGTTGTCTCAAAAAAGTAAGGTGAGTGACAGAGGGAGACACTTGATATTGATCTTTAGCCTGCACACATATGTGCCCATGACCTATACATTCATACAAAAATAAGTGGTCACACTGCACACACACACACACACACACACACACACACACACACACACACACACACGAATTTGTAAATATCAGTGTACTAGAAAACTAGGAGGAAAAGGGTTTTTGTTTTGCCTTGCTTTGTTTAAATACTGTGGACTCTAAGTGCATCAGTGGCAGATAATAACCCTGTTGAGGATTTGAGAAGGGCTGAGGTATGTTCCCTCAATTTACAGAACTGCAAAATGTGCAGAACCCATATATGGAATGGCTAAAGGCCACAGGTTGTGGTTGCATTGCTGCTCTGATGATGAATGTCATTAATTACACTAGGAATAGATGACAAAGCCATAGCTTGTTTGGACAAAAGATAAGTAAGCTTTACAAGCAGGTATGGACCAAGTGGTAGACAGCCAGTAGTGCCTTCTTTGGAGAGACCCAAGAAACTCTAAGGCCCTAACCATAAAGAGTAGTAACCCACATGGAATGAAAAAATGGTCATGTGTTAAAGAGATGTTTGTTACATTAAGGGACTTAAGTACAGACAGGGCCCAAGAATGAGGGGTCACAAGAAAATACAGAAATTTGTTCCAACAAAAAGAGCCAACCTTGACATCTGAAATGGCCAGCGTGAAATAATAACTCCACCCTTTCCCTGTAAGAGACAAAACCGTAGCCACAAAGCTAGGTGTTTGAAGGCTATGTGTAGGCTGAGAAACCAAGGAAGCAACTGAATGTAACACCTTCTGTGACACACCGGAGCACTGCAGAGGGAGGCCGTTTGCTGACATTAGTGTCAGAACTTGACTACTGCACAGGAATGCAATTACCTGAAGAATGAGAACTTGTGTTCTGTTCTTTATATCATGGCTCTATGCTTAAGATCAAATTTGCCATTTAAGATCAGTGAAATAACAGTATTTCATTCTGTAATAATGTATCATGCAATTGTAAGAACAACAGAAGCTGTGCATTCTAACTTGTCTTTAGACTTTGAACTGCTCTTGGCTGGTAACAACATGAGTGTAGATAGCAGTAGTTCAGGATTTACCAGTTATGCCAGATGTTATCTTTCAGAAACAAACTGGCAAACAGCAGAGCATAGAGATTGCTTGTTTCATCATAGTCTCATCCAAGTTGCACAAATGCTAAGTTTTGACTGGAATAAAGCTAAAAATGAAGAATCTTAATGCATTTTGTGGACCAGCCAAAACATTGTTAGGTGAACTTGGCATCCATGTTCTATTCTTAGCCTCATATCAGATGTTCATAGGCTTTTAAACAACTTTAAAATTGTTATTTTATGTTGTATATATAGGTGATTTGCCTGCATGTCTAACTGTGTACCATGTGTGTGGGTGGTGCCCATTGAGAGCAGAAAAGTGTGTTGGATCCTCTGGAATTGGAGTTATAGTTTAGTGAGCTGCCATGTGGGTGCTGGGAATTGAACTTGGGTCCTTTGGAAGAGTGGGCAGCCAGTACTCTTAACCATTGGGCTAACCTCTTCAGCCCTCCAATTGCAAAACATAAGCAAATAAACATTTAAAAACCAACAAAGAAGATTTGGCATTCCTACCTGTGTATAAGATTTGTCTGACAACAGAGATGTAGTCCTCAGGCTCTTGCTCTGTTGAGATCTCCCACCTGCTTCTGGGAACGTTTAATAATTCAAAGAAGGAATGTGAGCTCTCCATCCCACAAAGCAGGGTCACTACACTTTCTGGTGAGTGAAGTATCTTCTCTAGGAACTGACACCTCTTTGGTGTTATGTCTTTAAGTAGACTATTAGATAATATCAGAAGTTTACATTTGTAAGCTTTTAAGTTTTGCAATTCCAAATGTGAAGAAGAGAAACTCCACAAGGGATATAACAGGATTGCTTCTCTTTCTACAATATGTACAAATATTTCTTTCAAGTACAGTGCCCATTCCTCAGCATCTTCTTCATGTATCAGGAGGATGTCTTTTGCGTTTCCTGGAAAAAGAGAAAAAATATTTTATTTTTCATATAATTAGTTAGAAGGCTAACAGCAAGTTATATTATTCTTTTAAATGTGAAAGACACTGTTTTGGAAACATGCTAGTTTGCTTATAGCAGATACCAGTATTGTAAAATGTTGCTATCCTTATGCAAATTAAAAAATATATAAGATATAACACAGTCCTTGCCTTGCAAGAGTATTCTTCTACTCACTGTGCAAATGTGAATTCCCAGTAATCAACAAAACAAAGTTTTATTTGCATGAAGGAATTCAACAGTGAAAACCAAAAAAGAAGGTGGCATAGTCATGTGTCAGGTAGTAACAAGCTGTGGACTGGCTAGATGGCTTACTGGTAAAGGTACCAGCTGCCAACTGGAACCTGAGTTCAGTCCCTGGCAAGAAGAGAACTCACTCCCATAAATTTCCCTCTCACTTCCAAACATTTCCTGTGGCCTGTATATTATATATTAAATTATATATGTATATAATTTATATGTGTTAAATTTATTAAATATATTAATATTAATATATTAAATTCAATTATACACATATATTAAATATATATAAACATATTTTAAATATATTAAATTAAGATTTTAAAGTAATAAAATGTTATCATTGAATTAAATAGTAGGTTCTCATAGAACAATAGAGAACTAAGATCTACCTCCCACTCAGCGCCAAGATTGATGAAGATCAGAGTCAACAAACTCTCAGAATCTTTGGGCATCTCTTTCCTACCTTTCATCCCATCACGGGACTTCTGTGTCAAGATACTACATGACAGGCTCAAAGCTGAGTCTGAGAAACCAAAGCCACAAATCCAACTTCTCCACAGCAAGAGAGGGAAGGACCTTGCAGAGGGCATTGCAAGAACCACCCAGGACCTCCAGCTGCAGAAGCTCACAAACCACCCTGCATTGTGGGGATATTTGATAACACTGCAAACCTCAGGGTTTGCATTCATTAAATAAAACCTTGGGTCAAGAGGCAGAACCAACAACTAGTTGACAGGAAGTAGCCATAGATAATTAAAGAGAGAGTCAGGAAAACAGATGGAAATGCACGGGAAGTAGTAGGGAGGGACTTGGAGTATGGTGCTCTTTTATTTTGTTTGGGATTGTGAACAGAGGCTTTTGCTGGGTGACTGGTCAGCTGGTTGCTTTTCATCCTCTCTGAGCCTCTGAGCTAGCAGGTTTTCACTTCAGTATGTGACTTTCAAGTAAAATAGATGATAGAGCTTTAGTTTAGAACTACATTGGGTCAGGTGTGGTGGTGACGCCTTTAATCACAGCACTTTGGAGGCAGAGACAGGTAAATCTCTGTGAGTTCAAGGCCAGCCTGGTCTACAGAGCTAGTTCCAAGACAGCCAGATCTATTACACAGAGAAACCATGCCTCAAGAACAAACAAACAAACAAACAAACAAATAACAAATACAGTCCCAAACTACGTTTGGCAGCAAAGGCAGTGGCGGGACTTCTGCATCCCACCAGACTTTCACCTGAGCAGTGGGGCAGTGATTGCAGAGCCCCAGCCAGTAGCTGCAACAGCAGTAGATTTCAGGTGCAGCCGCTGTGCCTGCAATAAAACAACAACCGTTTTGTCGCCTTCTCCCTCAGACCATGTATATCGCTGACCTCCACATA